TGGCCCCTAAACAGAGGTTATTTCTCAACAGTGTTGTTCCTTAAACAGAGGTGTTGCCTTAACAGAGGTGTTGCCTTAACAGAGGTGGTCCATTACCAGAGGTGGCCCCTTAACAGAGGTGTTGCCTTAACAGAGGTGTTGCCTTAACAGAGGTGTTCCCCTAACAGAGGTTATATCTCAACAGAGGTGGTCCATTATCAGAGGTGGTTCCTAAACAGAGGTTATTTCTCAACAGTGGTGCTCCATAAACAGAGGTGTTCCCCTGACAGTGGTGTTCCCTTAACAGAGGTGTTGCCTTAACAGAGGTGTTCCCCTAGCAGAGGTGGTATCTTAACTGAAGCGGTTTCTCAAACAAGTTTGACAGTGTTGAGATTTTACCATAGGAATAATAATAGGCTGAGCTTTCTGCAAGTTTTGACAGGTTACCATCATCACTGCTGATCAATATTAGCCATCAACTTGGCCAAATTTTTATTCTGATGAATCTTTTGATGCCACAATTAAATAGTTGGTGCTGTCATTATTGAATCATTATGGTAATGTATAGCTCTACTCAGCTCTAGATTCAGTGGGCGTTCACAGCTTGGTTATCAGTGACAAATGACCAGGTCAGCAGCACAAACATAAATCATCCCACATTTAATACATTTTTCATCCTTGTTATCTTTTTTCTCTACCACATTTTTCGGTAACTTTCCAGGGCATTTTTTGTAATGGATCACTATTATGAAAAAATATTTTTGCATCAAATTTAATTACATATAATGGACAAAAATATATAAAATGCTTCTTTTTGTGAACTTATTCAGTATTTTTTGGCTCAGATTGACAAATCAGCATTAGATAACTTTGTACAGTATACTAAACAATGGGTAAGGGAATACTAAAAACTTTGTCAGATAAAGTAGACAAAGGTTTCTTATAAACTGATACTCTAAAATCTGCCATTAGTCAGTATTCAATCTTTAAACCTCTATACTTTTAACAGAGGATTTTGTTAAAAATTAAAATGATATGTTACATATGTATCATGTCTTCAACTAACCCGTCCCTTTATAGTAGCTAAGGAATTTATGATTCTTATATCTGTTTCAACATTCAACATAAGACTGCATCAAATGTTTGCAACACTAGTAATTTTAAAGTTAAGATATACAAATAAAATGAAATGACGTTTGATAACAGCCTTGCTTATTAATTGACAGAATGGAGAGCTACCTGGATACTGATGTAAAAACATCCAGGACTCAAGTGGCTACAGTGGCTGATTGATTCTATTCCGAGTATGTACACTAAACTGCTGTTCGCCTTTTGAGATGCTCCCCACATACAACCATCCAATCTGGACATCACCAGAGGTAAATCAATTTGAGACAAAACTAATTATGATAATGGTTATAGATCCTGGCCTACAAGCCTTTCCCAGCACTACAGCCTAGTCAGGCATTGATCTCAATAGTTTAATGGTAGTTCCAGCTATGCTTAGGTTTTGCCTTTCCCTCTACCATTCCTCATCGAACTCAGGGATATAATATTTTAAGTTAAGTGCTATCATCTGGGGACAATAGTTAAAGGGGATCTCGTCAAAAATTGAGACAAGTGAATTTGTAAGGATAGTACAGTAGCTTTGCTTTTGAGCATTAAGCCTGTACAGAAATGTTCGTATTTTTCGGTACATTAGCTTCAAAGCCTGCAGCCAGAACATACAGGTTTCTCCAAACTGAAAATTGATCGAACGAACATCTGTAAAATTAGCCTTCTCAAAGAAATCTCCTGGTTTCCTGTTTTTAAAAAAGGCACAGCAAAATTTAAATCAATATTTCAGCTGCCTTGTTTTTTTGCCTGCAAGAAACATGCACTGTCAGCAATGTTTTTACATGGAGTTTTGAGAAGGGGTAATGAAGATGAGGTACAAGGAGTTTTGACATGAGACAAGAATTTTAAGATGAAACACTTGGAATTTCAAGAAGATATACTCAGGGAGTCTTTAGACAAGATACTGGGAGATTTTAGACGAGACCCTTGGAGTTTTTAGATAAAATACAGTGAGTTTTGAGATAGTTTATAAAATTCAGACAACTTATGTTTCGTAGACAAACCTAACACATGGAATTGATTGACTAGCAATTGGCACTATTATTATAAATAGATGTTACACAATCCTTTTATTTTATAAGTGGTTGAGTATGACCTTTAACCATTAACTTTGACCTTGAATGATGATCACCAAAATTTAACATGGGTGACATCACATCACAATGTGACAACAATAACATGAAGCAAAATCAACAAGCAAATTCGTGGAATTTATATCCCCCGCTTGCAGGACATTCGTAGGTAAACATTATTAAGGTTAGGTTTAAACATGTGAGTATCGTGCTGTTGAGACATAATGTATAGCTTGAAACTTGAAGAAAAAACCAAATCACATCGGTTGGCAAACTTAGCATGAGTCGGATATGCATACAGAATTTGGTTGAAATATCTGCACAATATTTACAGCAATTATCACACGAAAACCAAAGAGTGCCTGAGATGGGTCAAAAGACAGAGGAACACAAACATTGTTATGAAGTTTGAAGGAATATGGCTAATATTTGCTAGACTTAATAATATCAAGCGGAAACTGTAGATAATGATGTTTTCGTTAATCAAGGGGCCAAAATTCCGCCAAATGGAGTCCGATTAAAGTGGTTGTCATACTTGGAAGAGCCCTTAAAGCATTCCACCCTGAAAGTGGTCAACGAGCTATGCCAAGCCCTTAAAGCATTTAACCCTGTTACTAAGTTTGAAGAAAATTGGTTAACATTGGCTTAAGTTATTGCACGGAAACGAAGCGTGACAGACAGACAGCGGGGGATAAAAAAACAAGAACATTCGATGCGAAGCAGAAACTGTGACACATTTATGTGGCTTCTGAGCTAATTCTGGTGATTGGAATGAGAGAAATATACTTTTCCATGCCATGCAGTCGTGTAGGATAGGGAAATTCCAATGGAGGATTTCCAAATTTGGTAGAACCCAATGCTTGTTGCAAGCCTGGGCATGGAAGAATCAAATATTAAACAGATATGGCAGAGCAATCTCTGGCTTTCTATTGGAGTTGAATGAATAGAAACTGAATCAGCATTTAAAGCAAGGGCCAGAAAACCAGCTATTGGCTTTACTTGAGACCAGCTAAACTGTATATGCACACCAAATTTGGCTGAAATCACTTTTGGGGAAGTTATTAAAGGGAAACCAATTAACCAATCAGAAGAGGGTAGCCTCATTAATCATGCATAAATATGCACAATTCCAATTGGCAATCAAACTCAGCCTAAGACTTGCCAGTATAAATGGCATATGACATTTGGTTGAACTTTAACCTTTTTTCAGAGATTTAATTGGAAAGAAATTAACCAATCAGATATCTATCGTCTCATTCATTTCGCCCAAATTCAAACTTAGCCTGACACTAGCCAATATATTCAAGGGTTCATGAGATATCTTGTAAACAAACTTTTTATTTCAAAAGGATTCAGAGTTATCTTCAACCTTGACCAATAACCACAAAAATCTTTTTTACTTATAGCAAATAGACGTACGGACAAAGTGATAACTGTATATGTACCCCACGCCCTCTTCAACTAAGAATGAGGTCAAATAAAGTTTTAAGGTAAATGATTTAGTCTAAAGCAATATTACTTGTTATTAATTAAGAGTATATTTTTCAGTCTATGCATGGGTTCCTTCATTTGCCTAGAAGATCTATGGTTTAACGGCAATCAGCTGATTTGAATGGTGATACATTTAGGTTTAAATGTAGATGATAAGGTTAGTTTTCTTTGGTAAGGAATTTACTATTGAAACTAGCAAAACATCAACTTATATAAGAATGAATTTTAGAATTTTAGAACAATCAGCTGAATGTAGTATGATTTCCTAATACTACAAACATACATAGTTCGGGATATTTGCAACTTCTGAAATTAGGGACAACCAAAACTGCATGTCTGTGATAACTGATCCTGAGTTGGTCCAGTCAACATATGCTATCCACGGCTATGGGGTAATGTCTAGAAAGGTTTACAACATTTTCAACAATAGTATTAGGGAATTTAGTTCTAGATATATAAACATGGAAATAGCTACTTGATGCCTTATCACATTACTCGTCTTGCCATCAGCTCCATAATCCGTGTCTCAAGATAAATGCTCACTTTAATCCACCTGTATATAAGGACTGATACCATTTGTACAGGATGACAAGTTGCTTTGGATCATTCCACGTCTACTCAATCCATTGTACAGAAATGCACTGATTAAAAGGGGGATAGGACAACATATATTTTGTTAACCAAAATCCCCTAGCAGGTAGTTATATTTTCTGGTATAGGATACAGATCAATGCTTCTCACTTAACATTTAAAGAGAAGTGAATAACAGATTTATGTTATTTTATCCCATTTGCTCAGATCCCCACCTGGAGGTTGAACAGTGAGTACTTCAGAGAATATTAGCATGCTAGTAATACTACACAAAGACATGCACTAAAGATTACAATGTGTTTTTTGTTTAGAAAAAATAAAGATCATCTTTAGAACTCTGCCGCAGATTCTCACAACACACATGACTTAACAACAGAAAGTGACAGGAAAGCCTACAATCTCTGCCATCTAGTGGTGACCTGGGTACACCTACAGATTGCCACCTGGTGGTGAACTTAGTCACAAAGCAATCTACAGAATGCCACCTGGTGGTGAACTTTGTCACAAAGCAATCTACAGATTGCCACCTGGTGGTGAACTTTGTCACAAAGCAATATATAGATTGCCACCTGGTGGTGAACTTTGTCACAAAGCAATCTACAGATTGCCACCTGGTGGTGAACTTTGTCACAAAAGCAATTCACAGCACTATCTGTTGGTGACCAAAGGAACACACTGATTGTAAGTCTACAAATCCCCAGGATGGTACAGAGTACCCAGGGAAGGTCATTGTGTGCAGAGATGATGTACCTATTTGGTCGGCCAGCTGCTTGCCCCTCTCCGTGGAAACGACCCTCTCATCCTCAAGGTCACACTTGTTGCCCACTAAAACTATCTGTGCATTATCCCATGAGTATGTCTTGATCTGAGTACACCTGCAATGTAACAATAGGGCATTGTTCAAAGGGAGATAACTGACAGGAGTCCAATATATGTCCCATCCACTCTGGGTCAATGCACTCAGGTCATCATCTTAATGTTGTCAGCTGAAAAAAAATCCTGTCTAAAAGAAAAATGATTATTGGTGCAGGCAAGCTATAAAACATGCATTCCAAAGACACCACTACTTGTTAAAAGCTTTTTGTGCCTGGCCTAACTGCCATACCCAACTCATACAGCTCCAAACCATTAGAGAAAGCTCCCATAAAAACGCACACAAATTAGTCAAATAGGTTCTTGTCACATCCTTCATGAACTATCTAATGTAGACAATAAATCAATTTTTGGTTTCCTGAAAAATAATCGAACATGATACCTTATCCTTCAAAGAATTTTTCTATGAAAAATAAACTTTGAAATTGTTAGTTCGATTACGTGACAAGCACCTATTGTAAAGGGAAAACATGTTTAAATATGAAAAAAATCAATCATGGGAAAGGAAAACAAAACACTTTAAGCACTAGATCAATGGTTCATCATAAAGTGGAATCAGTCATGGCTGAATACCCTTATGAATTATTCCACATTGTGACGTTGGTACACACGCATTGGTCTCTCATTATTTCTAAGAAAATCAATGACAATACCTGCAGCCATGTTTCTAGTGACGGATGGTTGCTTTGATGTCATTACGCCTTTTCTCCTTTACATATGGTCAATTTTTACCCTTTTCCATGATTGTAATGGTAAAATAAGTTGAACACCTTATGAGGTTTACATCTAATGGGTACTACTCCAGAAAAAGGGAAAGCAAACACACAAACAAATGGGAAGCTTGCTAGCATCTATCACGTACACAGTTTCAAGAGCACTTGGAATTTTGAAATTTTCTTAATGTTTATCTGAATACCTTAGTAGCATGGAAGTGTGACAAAATTGTTGATTTATTGAAGCAATGTTACAGACTTTTACTCAGCAGATACAAAAATTAATCTATGGATGTAAAATCTCAGAGTTCCAATCATGGAACATTATTCGTTGCTTTACTGAACAATCAAAACCTATCACCAACATTTAGATGTCAACTTTATTTGTGCGTCTCTAGAAACAAGTGTGTATGTTAGAACAGTGCCCACACACTTTTTGTAAGGAGGGCAAAGCATGCAGGGAGCTGGCGGTCAGCGAAGCAGGTGTTACCTAGGTCCTTGGCCAGTTCCTCTCCTGATCTAGTGGTCACACAGCGCGACTCCTCAATGTCGCACTTGTTACCCACAAGTAAGACACAGGCATTACTCCATGCATGGGTCTTGGTCTGAGTACACCTGGTCACAATACAAGCAGAGACAGAGGGTGACAACAACAACTAAACCATTCACACAACATCTAGTGCTAAAACATAATCACAACATCTAGTGTTTCACCTTCATACAACATCTATGTTAATATCTCTTTGCAACCTCTCTAGTGTTAATGTCTCCTCTCAACATCTAGTGTTAACATCTCCTTACAACATCTAGTGATAATGTCTCCTCACAACATCTAGTGATAATGTCTCCTCACAACATCTAGTGTCCACATCTCCTCACAACAACTAGTGTCAACACCTCCTCACAACATCTAGTGTTAACATCTCCTCACAACATCTAGTGTTAACATCTCCTTACAACATCTAGTGATAATGTCTCCTCACAACATCTAGTGATAATGTCTCCTCACAACATCTAGGGTCCACATCTCCTCACAACAACTAGTGTCAACAACTCCTCACAACATCTAGTGTTAACATCTCCTCCCAACATCTAGCGTTAACATCTCCTCACAACATCTAGTGTTAACCCCTCACAACATCAAGTGTTAACATCTCCTCACAACATCTAGTGTAACACCTCACAACATCAAGTGTTAACATCTCCTCACAACATCTAGTGTAACACCTCACAACATCAAGTGTTAACATCTACTCACAACATCTAGTGTTGACATCTCCTCACAACATCTAGTGTTAACACCTCCTCACAACATCTAGTGTTAACACCTCACAACATCAAGTGTTAACATCTCCTCACAACATCTAGTGTAACACCTCACAACATCAAGTGTTAACATCTACTGACAACATCTAGTGTTAACATCTCCTCACAACTTCTAGTGTTAACATCTCCTCACAACATCAAGTGTTAACATCTCCTCACAACATCTAGTGTAACACCTCACAACATCAAGTGTTAACATCTCCTCACAACATCTAGTGTAACACCTCACAACATCAAGTGTTAACATCTCCTCACAACATCTAGTGTAACACCTCACAACATCAAGTGTTAACATCTACTGACAACATCTAGTGTTAACATCTCCTCACAACCTCTAGTGTTAATGTCTCCTCACAACATCTAGTGTTAACATCTCCTTACAACATCTAGTGATAATGTCTCCTCACAACATCTAGTGATAATGTCTCCTCACAACATCTAGTGATAATGTCTCCTCACAACATCTAGGGTCCACATCTCCTCACAACAACTAGTGTCAACTCCTCCTCACAACATCTAGTGTTAACATCTCCTTACAACATCTAGTGATAATGTCTCCTCACAACATCTAGGGTCCACATCTCCTCACAACAACTAGTGTCAACACCTCCTCACAACATCTAGTGTTAACATCTCCTCCCAACATCTAGTGTTAACATCTCCTCACAGCATCTAGTGTTAACATCTCCTCACGACATCTAGTGTTAACATCTCCTCACAGCATCTAGTTTTAACATCTCCTCACAACATCAAGTGTTAACATCTCCTCTCAACATTTAGCGTTAACATCTCCTCACAACATCTAGTGTTAATGTCTCCTCACAACATCTAGTGTTAACATCTCCCCACAACATCTAGTGTTAACATCTCCTCACAACTTCTAGTGTTAACATCTCCTCACAACATCTAGTGTAACACCTCACAACATCAAGTGTTAACATCTACTCACAACATCTAGTGTTAACATCTCCTCACACCGTCTAGTGTTAAAATCCCCTCAAAACATCTAGTGTTAACATCCCCTCATAACATCTAGTGTTAACATCTCCTCACAACATCGAGTGTTAACATCTCCTCACAGCATCTAGTGTTAACATCTCCTCACGACATCTAGTGTTAACATCTCCTCACAACATCGAGTGTTAACATCTCCTCACAGCATCTAGTGTTAACATCTCCTCACGACATCTAGTGTTAACATCTCCTCACAGCATCTAGTGTTAACACCTCCTCACAACATCTAGTGTTAACACCTCACAACCTCAAGTGTTAACATCTACTCACAACATCTAGTGTTGACATCTCCTCACAACATCTAGTGTTAACATCTCCTCCCAGCATCTAGTGTTAACATCTCCTCACAACATCAAGTGTTAACATCTCCTCTCAACATTTAGTGTTAACATCTCCTCACAACATCTAGTGTTAATGTCTCCTCACAACATCTAGTGTTAACATCTCCTCACAACATCAAGTGTTAACATCTCCTCTCAACATTTAGTGTTAACATCTCCTCACAACATCTAGTGTTAACATCTGCTCACAACAGCTAGTGTTTACAACTCCTCACAACATCTAGTGTTAACATCTCCTCACACCGTCTAGTGTTAAAATCCCCTCAAAACATCTAGTGTTAACATCCCCTCACAACATCTAGTGTTAACATCTCCTCACAACATCTAGTGTTAACCTCTCCTCACACATCTAGTGTTAACATCCCCTCACAACATCGAGTGTTAACATCTCCTCACAACATCTAGTGTTAACATCTCCTCACAACAGCTAGTGTTTACAACTCCTCACAACATCTAGTGTTAACATCCCCTCACACCATCTAGTGTTAAAATCTCCTCACAACATCTAGTGTTAACATCCCCTCACAACATCTAGTGTTAACATCTCCTCACAACATCGAGTTTTAACATCTCCTCACAACATCTAGTGTTAACATCTCCTCAACATCTAGTGTTAACATCTCCTCACAACAGCTAGTGTTTACAACTCCTCACAACATCTAGTGTTAACATCCCCTCACACCATCTATTGTTAAAATCTCCTCACAACATCTAGTGTTAACATCCCCTCACACCATCTATTGTTAAAATCTCCTCACAACATCTAGTGTTAACATCCCCTTACAACATCTAGTGTTAACATCTCCTCACAACATCGAGTGTTAACATCTCCTCACAACATCTAGTGTTAACATCTTATTACAATATCTAGTGTTAACATCTCCTCACAACATCTAGTGTTAACATCTCCTCACAACATCGAGTGTTAACATCTTATTACAATATCTAGTGTTAACATCTTAATACAACATTTAGTACATTGTACTAGTGCTTTACAAACACAAAATTTACAATATTAAGATGTAGAAGTATAGCTTTTGATATACGTATACACTGAAGTGTTAAACCATTACCAGGAATATGCTACAATAAAATACTATTACATCAAGACATTGCTACACTGTTTAATAAGGCATTACTAAACAAAGACTACATAATAGGGTAATGTTGTACAACATAATACTCATACAAAAATATGTAAATATCAGTTGTTCAATAAACATCCTATTAACTTATTAAAAGTTACATATAATTATGTGCTGTCAATAATAATTTCGAAAACAATTATTACAAAACATTGTTAAGATATAGATATTACATGTACAATCAAGCAAAACCATTCTTCTGTTAGTAATCAGTTTTCTATCGTGGACACTTCACAAAGATACATATATCTACGTGTCTCCTGTAATCTCAGTTCTGTGGATTTAATGCTATAATAAATGTATACAAGTATCATTGATAGACTGAGAGTCGTTTAATAAGCCATGCTATTTTTAGACAAGGGCCGGGTTTACCTGTCCAGTCATAACATCTTACAGCCACGGATAGGCATTGGCATTAGGAAAATGAGTTGAGAATTGTGCCATACACCCTTAAGTTCAAACA